GTGGGGGAGGGTGGTGTGGGTGGTGGGGGAAGGGTGGTGTGGAAGTGGGGGAGGGGATGAGAAGAAGTCGTGGGAGGCACCGCCCAACAGGACGGGTGGGAAGGGGCGTGGTGGTGACAATCCTGCTGGTGGTGGAGGTATTGTTGTTATTGCCCATATTCATGACGGGAGTGATTGAACAAGGGGCAAAAAAGCTACTTATTGTCCACTTTCTGACCATGTCCCCTCATATCCCCTCATGTCCCCTCATGTCCCCCCCGTGAGCAGGCAGCGTGAGCGACAGTGAGCGCAGTGTACCGGCGCTCACGGGGCTCCCCAGGACGCAGTGGGCGACGCTGATGGAGCAGCACTTCGCTAAGGGCATCAACAGGGACAACCTGGACATCATCCACCGCGCTGCCTTCATGGTGCGACGCCCTTCACTGCGCCCTTCACTGGGCCCTTCACTGGGCCCTTCACTGGGCCCTTCACTGCGCCCTTCACTGCACCCTTCACTGCGCCCTTCACTTGGCCCTTCACTTGGCCCTTCACTGCGCCCTTCACTTGGCCCTTCACTTGGCCCTTCACTGGGCCCTTCACTTGGCCCTCCACTGGGCCCTTCTCTTTGCTCTTGACTTGGCCCTTCACTGGGCCCATCACTTGGCCCTCCACTGGGCCCTTCACTTGGCCCTCCACTGGGCCCTTCTCTTTGCTCTTGACTTGGCCCTTCACTGGGCCCTTCTCTTAACTCTTCACCTAATTCTCCCTACCAATAAATACTCTCGCCTCTCCCTTCCCTCCCAATAATCCAGTAATTTAATTGCGTCTGAGCTAATCCCTAATTTTACAAGGCTTCTGAATCAATAATTATTTTCGATGGAAGTTAAGCACTTACAGGGTCTCTGCTACCTGCAATAAGCGAATGCACTATTTTCCCTGTTATTGTATTAGCGTGACTATACATTGGTATTATCGTGGCTATACAATGGTATTATCGTGGCTATACAATGGTATTATCGTGACTATACAATGGTATTATCGTGGCTGTACAATGGTATTATCGTGGCTATACAATATGGTATAAGTGTTACTTTTAGCAACGTGTTGTATTACCAACTGCTTGAGTATCCATGCATAATCCTGGACTGGGCGAGACATTCGCCGTGATTACAAAGCCTCATGTCTGGTCTAACTCTGAACTCGGCCTTCAACATAGACTTGATATACCCTGAACATGGTCTTCACCTTGAACTTTAACGTAGACTTGATATACCCTCAACATATTACTCACTGTAAACATTGCTGTATCCTCAATTTACCCTTTAACAAACGTTCTACTCAGCCGTTAACCTCTCTTGCCGTATCCTTCATACCTCTTGATGCCCTCTTTATACCCTCTGTATGCCCGCCTGGGCAGGTGGTGCTGCTGGACGCCCCTCCTAAGGACATCCACGACAAGGGCAAGACGCTTCTGCATGCTGATGGCCGCACCCTCTGGTAGGAGGGGAGGGGACCGGGTGGTCCTGAGGGGTCAACGGGGGCTCTTGGGGAAAGATAGAAACTTGGTTTTATTCATTTTTATTCAACACTAAACTAAATTATGTGGGCGCCTGAGGTGATGCGGTTGTTATCCCTTTTTATTCATGAACAAACTGAACCGCTGCTGTTATCACCGTTATTCCCTGCTGTTATCACTGTTATTCCCTGCTGTTATCACTGTTATTCCGTGTTGTTATCACTGTAATTCCCAGTTTTTTATGTTCTATTACCACATAACCCAAACGATAACAGCAGTTACCCACTAACATGGTCCGCATGCGCAGGTTCGACAAGAGCCTCAACGTCTGCTTCTTCCCCGACGGCCAATGTGGCTTCAACGCCGAGCACTCGATGGCCGACGCGCCCGCCCTGGGACACGTCTGGGAGTACGCCATGACTAATGAGTGAGTGCCGTGACTAATGAGTGAGTGCCATGACTAATGAGTGAGTGCCATGACTAATGAGTGAGTGCCATGACTAATGAGTGAGTATCATGACTAATGAGTGAGTGCCATGACTAATGAGCGAGTGCCATGACTAATAAGCGAATGGCATGACTAATGAGCGAGTGCCATGACTAGTGAGCGAGTGCTGTGACTAATGAGTGAGTGTCATGACTAATGAGTGAGTGTCATGACTAATGAGCGAGTGTCATAACTAATGAGCGAGTGCCATGACAAATGAGTGAATGCCATGACTAGTGAGCAAGTGCCATGATTAATGAGCGAGTGCCACGACTAATGAGTGAGTGTCATGACTAATGAGCGAGTTTCATGACTAATGAGTGAGTGCCATGACTAATGAGTGAGAGCCGTGACTAATAAGTGAGTGCCATGACTAATGAGTGAGTGCTAAGACTAATGAGCGAATTTCATGACTAATGAGTGAGTGTCATGACTAATAAGTGAGCGTCATGACTAATAAGTGAGTGCCATGACTAATGAGTGAGTGTCATGGCTAATGAGTGAGTGTCATGACTAATAAGTGAGTGCCATGACTAATGAGTGAATGCCATGTCTAGTGAGCGAGTGCCATGATTAATGAGCGAGTGCCATGACTAATGAGGGAGTGCCGTGACTAATGAGTGAGAGCCGTGACTAATAAGTGAGTGCCATGACTAATGAGTGAGTGCTATGACTAATGAGTGAGTGCCATGACTAATGAGGGAGTGCCATGACTAATGAGTGAGTGCCATGACTAATGAGTGAGTGCATGACTAATGAGCAAGTGCAATGACTAATGAGCGAGTGCCATGACTAATGAGTGAGTGCCATGACTAATAAGTAAGTGTCATGACAAATGAGCGAGTGCCATGACTAATGAGCGAGTGCCATGACTAATGATCGAGTGTTTTGACTAATGAGTGAGTTCCATGACTAATGAGTGTCATGATGAATGAGCGAGTGCCATGACTAATGAGTGAGTGCCATGACTAATGAGTGAGTGCCATGACTAACGAGTGAGTGTCATGACTAGTGAGTAAGTGCCATTTCTATTGAGCGAGTGTCATGACTAATGAGTGAGTGTCATGACTAATGAGTGAGTGTCATGACTAATGAGTGAGTGTCATGACTATTGAGTGAGTGTCATGACTAATATGACTAATGAGCGAATGTCATGACTATTGAGTGAGTGTCATGACTAATGAGTGAGTGTCATGACTAATGAGTGAGTGTCATGACTAATGAGTGAATGCCATGACTAATGAGTGAGTGTCTTGACTAATGAGCGAGTGTCATGACTATTGAATGTTCATCGATCATCCACTGTACGTCCCCTCCCCATTAAAGCCCTACTAACGAGTCCCCCCTCATTAATACCCTGACTAATGAGCCCCTCTTATTAACCCCCCACCACCCCCCTGGTCAGGGTGCTGGAGAAGCGCTACCTGGACAACGGGGAGGTGATGCCTCCCCCGCGGGAGTTCCGTCAGGGCCCCCACAGTCCCCCACGCCGTATCATCTGGGACATGACGGATGCCCTCGCCCACAGCATCACCCAAGCCGCCCATGCCAACCTCCAGGTGCCCTCTGACATCCATCAGCGTCCATTATGCCATCCATTAGCGTCCATTATGCCCATTAGCGTCCATTACGCCAATTAACGTTCACGCCTTCTACCCCAGCATCGCCCTGGTGTGGCTAGGATAGTAATCCCTCAGATTAGGGACCAGCAGTTTTACCTGCTACGCTAAGTTAACCTCCCATGTCTGATTAACCTTTCTCCATTGCTTATTTTCTCCACTTCTGGTTATCCTTCACGTCAGGTTACCCTCGCTCTCCTGGTTACCCTTCACGACAGGTTACCCTCGCTCTCCTGGTTACCCTTCACGTCAGGTTACCCTCGCTCTCCTGGTTATCCTTCACGTCAGGTTACCCTCATTCTTCTGGTTACCCTCATTCTTCTGGTGACCCTTCACGTCAGGTTACCCAATACCCTTACTCTTCTGGTTATCCTTCACGTGAGGTTAACCTTATCCTCCTTATACCTGATTAACCATAGTTTACCCCGCAGCAAGCGGACGACCTGGACCTGTTCATCGAGCACCACTCCGCCTTCGGGAAGGGCGTGCTGAAGAAGGCCCTCATCAGCCCCGACGCCTTCGTGCAGATCGCCCTTCAGCTCGCCTACTTCAGGGACTCCGGCGGCCGCTTCGTGCAGACCTACGAGGCCTCGGCCACACGTCTCTACCAGCACGGCCGGACCGAGACCGTCCGGTCCTGTACGAGGGAGAGCTCTGCCTTCGTCAGGTGGGTCATGCCGTCGTCAGGTGAGTCATGCCTTCGTCAGGTGAGTCATGCCTTCGTCAGGTGAGTCATGCCTTCGTCAGGTGAGTCATGCCTTCGTCAGGTGGGTCACGTCTTCGTCAGGTGGGTCACGCCTTCGTCAGGTGGGTCACGCCTTCGTCAGGTGGGTCACGCCTTCGTCACAACTGCTTTATATTAAAGATCTTGAATAATAATATATTACATTGGATATAATTTACCTAATATATGTAAATTAACGTCCTGATGTACAAATTAATAATAATAATATTGAGGTAATATAACATCCATTGATAACAAAGACAATAGGTATATAATTAAGTGCTCACTGCTGTCAGAGCGGCGTGATAGAAGTTAAGCTCCGCATATATAATATATAACATACTTAAATAACTTTATATTATAAAGTAATATATAATTAAATGGTCACTGCTTATAGGGCGATGAGCGAGGACGCAGTGAGCTCCGCATATATAATATATAACATACAAAAATAACTATACAATATAACACAATTTATATATAATATAAATATTATATATATAATATAAATGTATATATATATTATATATAAAACAATATATAATTAAATGGTCACTGCTTATAGGGCGATGAGCGAGGACACGGTGAGCAGGACGCAGAAGCTGGCGCTGCTGAGGGAGGCCGGGGAGAGGCACCAGAGCCTCTACAAGGCAGCGATGAACGGCGAGGGCATCGACAGGCACCTCTTTGCCCTCTACGTCGTCTCTAGGGGCCTCGGATACGTAAGACTTGTTATGCTATGTCCTCAGATACGTGAGGCCACGATCTCTGTCCTCGGATACGTGAGGCCATGGTCTCTGTCCTGGGATACGTGAGGCCATGCTCTCTGTACTCGGATACGTGAGGCTGCGCTCTTTGTCCTCGGGTACGTGAGGCCACGCTCTTAGTCCTCGGGTACGTGAGGCCACGCTCTCTGTCCTCGGAAACGTGAGGCCATGCTCTGTGTCCTGTGATACGTGTGGCCATGCTCTTTTTAGCGTATTTTCTCATTTATGGAAAAAATGCACTATTGTGCTCGCCATGTCCGTCCGTCTGTGTCTGTCTGTCTGACTGTCCGTCCGTCTGTCCGTCCGTGACTTCCATTTTCGTCGACGGGAAAATGCGCTCTCTGTCACTCACTGCAGTGAGTACTGAGTTATATTTTTTTTGACATTTTGCCTTCAATGCCATTAAAGTCCCAAATTGTTCGTACTCGATTCCCAAAAGAAAAACTTTTTCATCAGTATTTTTAATTAATTTCCAAGTCTCCTTAATAATTTAAAATAGCAGACGATACACAACACACTTGGTAGGGCCCCTAATATTTCGAAAATATTTTTTACTGTACTTTAACTATGAAAATAATAGTTTTCTAGATAGTTTCTATTGAAAACATTTCGAGCGCCAACTTTTATAAATTTCAAACCTTTGATAATGAAACAAATCTTACACCGCCCGTATACACTATTTAATAGTGAACATAGGCCCACTATTAAACATTGACTTAATGGGCCAATAAGTCAATGTGAGCGATATATGCTGAGAATAGAATAATCTTTGATATTATTTCAGTTTGCTAGGTTATATAAATTCTACATTTGGACTTTAATTCCAAACATGATGAACAATAAAATAAATGAATATTGCTCCAGCCTTCCCTAGAAAGTGGAAGTGAGCGACATTGGTTTTATTAATATGATATTAATTCAGAAATTAAAATTAATTGAGAATATTTAATGCCATTAATTGAGTAAGTTGTAAGTTACATATTATGTTTGTTAATTAGTATCTGTTAGTTAGTATTTCTATTAGTTAGTTAGTTAGTATCACTTGTGAGTTAGTTAGGATTATATGTTAGTTAGTATATTAAATGAGTTGGTTAGTATATTATAAGAGAGTTAATATATTATAGGAGTTATTTAGTATATTATATCAGTTAGTATATTATACGACTTATATAGTATATTATATGAATTAATATATTATAAGAGTTAGTTAGTATATTATATGCGTTAATGTATCATACGACTTAGTATATTATATGAGCTAGTTAATATATTATATATGTTACAGGACTGCGAGCTGCTGGAGAACGTAATCAAGCGGCCGTGGACGCTGAGCACCTCCCAGCAGCCCCAGCAGCAGGTCACCAACTCCAACCTTCCTGACATCAACTTTGAGCCCTTCAGGAAGATGGTGAGTCACCATACTCTATGTGGTGTGCTCACCATACTCTGTGGTGTGCTCACCATACTCTGTGGTGTGCTCACCATAATCTTGTGTGTGCACCATACTTCAGGAAGATGGTGAGTCACCATTTTTGTGACCTGCCTATCGACGACCTGGAGGCGGAGGACGACGAAGGTGGAGCATCAGCTTGATCATGGACTGGGAAGTCATAAACTCATCATAAGGTTATAAGGTCATACTCTGTGGTATGGTGGTGTGCTCACCATACTCTGTGATGCAGTGTCACCATACTCGGCGCTGTATTCAGGACAATGATGAGAGTACTTCACCTTATCTTCTGTGGTGTGTCTTGTGGTGTACGCTGTACCTGCTACATCTCATCACAATTACGCCCTCTCACTCCCCGCTGTAACCGCTGCCTTGCAGTCTAAGATGGTTACGTACCATTCTAGTAATGGTCTTCACGTTCCCTGACTTAGTAATTCACACAAGGGCATGAAACTATGAATATTCAACACAAATAAATTTTATTACAGCAAAGTTTCGCCAAACGGGCTTCAAGTTAGTGTCACAGGTCTAATGCCGCAGGTTGAAATTATTTGCATTTTCGTCTGCAATGGGATTAAGGGCTATTACATACAGTAATAAATCGTAAAAAATATTCAAATCTGATAGATAATAATATGACAAATGTTCAGCATCTCCGCACCATACCGTACTGGTCAGCGTCGGGAGCAAAGTGACACGTGGAGAAAGGGTGATGCTGAACACTACTCATGGTAAATAAATGCTATGAGAGATGCGTCAAACTGCGGCTACACCCGCTGTGTTCCTTCCCTACTCATCTCATTCCTTGCTCCTTTCGCCCCCACCCTCATCCCCCTCTCCTTTCACCCCCACCCTCTCATCCCCCTCTCCTTTCACCCCCTGGGCCTCCAACTGATGGGGGACTAACTGGGGCCTCCAACTGATGGGGGACTAACTGGGGCCTCCAACTGATGGGGGACTAACTGGGGCCTCCAACAAACACGGCAAGCAACAAATTTTAAATTGAGCCACCGGTTCACATTGGAGCGCCCGGTTCGCATTGAGCCCCAATTCGCATTCAGCCACCGGTTCGCAGTTTCACATTAGAGTCCCCCGGTTGGCATTGAGCCCTCCGGTTCGCAGAGCCCTTGGTTTGCATTGCAGGCACCCCAGTTCACATTGAAGCCCTTGGTTGGCATTGTGGCCCCTGATGTGGAGAAGTGCACGAGCTGTGCAGAGGCTCTTGTGTTCTGCACAGCTTACCAGGCTGCGTGCATTTACCTGCATGCGGTGCTAGTGCTGGGCTAGTGCTGGTGCTGTACTTGCTAGTGCTGGTGCTGTGTTCATGCAGTGCCAATGCTGTGCTAGTGCTGGTCTGTGCTAGCGCTGTACTGTGCTAGTGCTATGTTCATGCTGTACTACGTTGTGCTGTTCTAGTGCTGCGCTGGTGCTGAGCTAGTGCTGTGCTATTGCTGTTCTAGTGCTGCGCTGGTGCTGTGCTAGCGCTGGTGCTGTGCTAGCGCTGGTGCTGTGCTAGTGCTGTGTAACATACATTGGAGCCACAGCAGCTACACGAGGTGGCCTGCGTTATGTATATCCACTGTACATCCATCTAATTCACTGCACTGTGTTCCTGTATTACTTCTGTGTGGGTGTGTTGATGTCATTTCTGTATTAAGAATACGTATCACGTATCTTATGAGTATGAATGTAACGAATGTGAACTCCGTGTTCGTGCCCAGCGTTGGATCTCGTGAGCGATAGTGTCAAATATAACTAACATTTATTATTATTATTATATCCATATTACTATATAATATTTGTAATTATCTAATATTATTATTATTTGTAAACGCCATCGATGACACCAAAATGTTTAGTAATTTCGCCCTGAGCATTACTAGTCTTTGAATAGTCACCATTCAAAAGGTGGCAGTGAACCTTTCATAGGCTGTCTCTCTTCCTTAGCAGTTCACTATCACCTTTCAAAGGCTCTCTTTTATCCCTAGCAGTTCACTATCACCTTTCAATGGCTCTCTTTTATCCCTAGCAGTTCACCATCACGTTTCAAAGGCTCTCTTTTATCCCTAGCAGTTCACTATCACCTTTCAAAGGCTCTCTTTCATTCCTAGCAGTTCGCTATCACCTTTCAAAGGCTCTCTTTCATCCCTAGTAGTTCACTATCACCTTTCAACGGGTCTCTTTCATCCCTAGTAGTTCACTATCACCTTTCAAACGCTCTCTTTCTTCATTAGCATTTCACTATCACCTTTCAAACGCTCTATTTTCTCCCTAGCAGTTCACTATCACCTTTCAAAGGCTCTCTTTCATCCCTAGCAGTTCACTATCATCTTTCAAAGGCTCTTTTTTATCCCTAATAGTTCATTATCACCTTTCAAAGTCTTTTTTTCTTCATAAGCAGTTCACTATCACCTTTCAAAGGCCATTCACCATGTACAAAGTAACTATCAAGTTTCGCTGTTGATAAGCTATCCTTTTAATATCAAGTTGTATTAGGATTTGTAAGCGAGTTTGTAGAAATGAACTATATTAATAAAGCAAAGTTGATGGAAGAATACAACCTCATTTTATAAGAGTATCAATTCTTCCACATTCCTTCCCATATCATTCCTATCCCATACCTTTCCCTTCACATGCCTTTCCCTTCACATGCCTTTCCCTTCACATGCCATCCTTTCACATGCCTTTCCCTTCAAATGTCATTCCTTCGCATACCTTTCCCTTCACATGCCTTTCCCTTCAAATGTCATTCCTTCGCATGCCTCTCCCTTCACATGCCTTTCCCTTCAAATGTCATTCCTTCGCATGCCTCTCCCTTCACATGCCTTTCCCTTCAAATGTCATTCCTTCTTTCACATGCCTTTCCCTTCACATGCCTTTCCCTTCACATGCCTTTCCCTTCACATGCCTTTCCTTTCACATGCCTTTCCTTTCACGTGTATTGAACTCTCGCGGCTAAAAAGTCACGTTATTTCGTCGCGTATTCCTTCCTTTGTATTTCTTGTATAAACTTTTATACAAACTTTTAGTGGTGTTCAAATCGAGTTTTAACCTGTCATGTGTGTCGTGGTTATTTGTTTGCCATCATTTAATTATTTATTTGCTTCATTTAATTAAAAAAAATCGGGAATTGTGTTCCATGCATAATAATGCATAATTCTAGGTTATTATTAGTATTTATTATTATTATTATTGTCTTACATTTTCTAATTCCAGGCAGTTACTACACGCTATGCTTTACGGTTGTTACATTTCCCATGAAGATTTGAGTTATATTAATTAATAATTTTAAATATTTTCATAATATTATATAAGCTATTAATATTAATTAAGAAAATTGTTTAGAGTGTTGATATTTGTGAAGCGACAGCCGAGCTTTACATTGAAAATATAACTTTTTATTGATCACCAAAATAAATGTTTATTTTAAAGCTAATGTTTGCACTGCGCACTGTCAATAATGATGATGAAATCAAACAATCATCAACTTGGAGAAGATATTAGAAACTTTTTGGTTGACCAAGTGTTCAAAAGTTGGGTTTAAGTGTTGGGTTCGGTGTTGGGTTTAAGATAAGTAAATTTTGAATTAGAACAATTTAAAATTTAAAATAAATTTGAAATAAATTTATTTAAGTTAGAACTTGAACGTGGGTTGCTAAGCTTGAAAGTGCTCTGTTTTATTTGATTTTGTGTCTTGTTTTAGACCTTTTAGTTTATCAGGAACCTACGCCTTTATCCATCCGAAGGCGTCTCAAGTGACCAGTAATTCTAAGTTTCAATGCTTGAAAAAGGCCAGTAATTTGAAGTTACAACGCTTGAAAAAGGGAAGTAATTTCAATTTTTAACGCTTTGATGAGGCCAGTAATTTCAATTTTCAATGCTTGAAGGCCAGTATTTCAATTTTTAACGCTTGAATCAGCTTAGAAATTGCAAGTTTCAACGCTGGGATAGGGTCAGTAATTCCAATTGTTTCGAAGTTTCTTTAGTGGTTTATAACGGTGAACAATTAACCTCGTATTAGTAATTAAAATAACTCTCATTGTTCCTTATAACAGAACACTCATACCAACAATTTTTCTATTTAACTGCTAAATTTAATAATCGAGTTAATGTTTTAAGCTTAAAATTATGTTTATTTGATTCGAGAAATAATTATAACGTAAGCGTGAAATACTAGTAGTGAATATACGAATTTAGCGACACAATTTTTTCAATTTAATTTAGGAAAATTTTAACAAATTTTAAGAGTGCTGGGTATATCATATGCAGGCATTATTAATAAATTATATCCTATTAAATATAATAAAACTATTTTTATTTTCGAGATTGAGTGTGAATTTTGTTACCGTTTCTTCCAAAGAGTTCATAGTTCTCTGTTTCATATCATGAAATAGTGCGTTCATACTGTATGCATGTATGAATATATTCATGAACATGAGTTGCACTACGCAACTAAAGTTCTGAAGTATTAAGAGCTGTTCATTTACGATCCTATATAATGATTTATATGTGAATTTATATGATTGTTCATCTTGCCAGTTCCTGCACTTGATACAAGAAGCATATTTTCTTTTTAAACTTTCTCTACTCACAATTTCTTTCGATCTTTCATTTTCTTTACTTCTTACACTTTCTTCGTACCCTTAGCACTTTCTACCTTCCCTCTCATCCCTCACTTTACCCACTTGTTCCCCCTTCTCTCTCCCTCTTCTCCCCATTTCACCATGAATTAGAAGTAATTATAAGATATTTATTTCATGTTTTCCATTACTGTTCGTGCTCTCCAATATATTTGTAGACAACCTCCTCCTGTTGTGTATGTGTGGGGGATTTTTGTTCAAATGGGAATGGGACTTTTTGTTCAAAAAGTGATGCACTTTTTGCCCTTATGTGCGTCATCCTGACACACTTTGGTCCAGCAAAAGAGTGTATCAGTGCTACGCGCATAAAGTGAATAGTTTGGACAATATAAGCCATTGATTTGTCTGAGTCTGGCAAGCAAGTTCAAGCTCGTAATTCCATGTCTTATAAATACATCCACGCGTGAAATGTTAGGCATTATTAGTGTTAAAATGTTCAAATATGTGGCAATTTTCTATAAATGTTCATAGTAATAATTTGATTGCTTTCTAGATTTTTAATAAATTCATTGTAATTGTCGTTCAGTTTTGAATGAAATGTCCTGATAAAGTAAGCATGCACTATCGAGTCTTTTGCTTAGGCTGAAAGTAGTCTTAATAATTGAGTCTTTTGCTTAGGCTGAAAGTAGTCTTAATAATTGAGTCTTTTGCTTAGGCTGATAAAGTAGTCTTAATAATTGAGTCTTTTACTTAGGCTGATAAAGTAGTCTTAATAATTGAGTCTTTTACTTAGGCTGATAAAGTAGTCTTAATAATTCATTCTTTCGCTTAGGTTTCATCCGCGGTTTTCATTTGAATTTGAAAACGATGAAAATATTTTTCATGAGGTCGGTGGGTGAAATAGCGAGATTAGCACCAAATAAATTTTAAATTTGTATTAATTTGAAGATAATTATTATTATTGTTTATGAGTTTAGTTTTAGGGAGCCCCGCAGAGGGCAGGCCCTGCCTGCTGGGGAGCCGACGCAATCCCCCGGGTCCTCAGCGTGGAATTGTTACGTCCTCACCTTTCACGTAATCCTTTCACTAGATCCTTTCATGTAATCCTTCCCTCTAATCCTTTCCCTAGATCCTTTCATGTGATCCTTCCACTTGATTCTTTCACGTGATCCTTTCATGTGATCCTTTCACGTGATCCTTTCACGTGATCGTTCATGTGATCCTTTCACGTGATCCTTTCACTTGATCCTTTCACTTGATCCTTTCACGTGATCCTTTCACTTGATCCTTTCACGTGATCCTTTCACGTGATCGTTCATGTGATCCTTTCACGTGATCCTTTCACTTGATCCTTCCACTTGATCCTTTCACGTGATCCTTTCACTTGATCCTTCCACTTGATCCTTCCACTTGATCCTTTCACGTAATCCTTTCACGTAATCCTTCCCCTAGATCCTTTCCCTAGAACCTTTCACGTGATCCTTTCACTTGATCCTTTCATTTAATCCTTTCTAATTGATCCTATCATCCATCCTCTGGATCCTTCCACTCGATCTCTTCACGTAATCTTTTCACTAGTCCTTTCACTATATTCTTTATTTGGACACTCGCACTCGATCCTTTCACTTGATCTTCTCATTCGATCCTTTCACTTGATATTCTCACTAGATCCTTTCACTTGATCTTGATGTTGACCCTTTCATATGATAGGACGTGTCTCTCTCATTCTATAACAAGTAATAGGGAGTGAAGTGTCCTTCCCGTTCAAAAGCGCGCGTAACCAACAATTTGATGCTTCACGCGTCCTCTGCGCAATTATTATTAACGAAAGTTTCTTGCTCGTTTCTATTGGAATAAAATATGAACTGATCGTTCAGTTCCGTTACGTGTGAGAGTCGCTTTTGTGGGTAATAGGGTTCACGATACTGCATATTGGGGGTCATAGGGTTCATCCTATGCATTGAGGGGTCATAGGGTCCATCCTGCGCATGGAGGGGCCATAGGGTTCATCCTACGCATGGAGAGGTCATAGGGTTCATCCTGCGCATGGAGGGGTCATAGGGTTCATCCTACGCATTGAAGGGTCATAGGGTTCATCCTACACATTGGGGGGTCCTAGGGTTCATCCTACACATGGGGGGGTCCAAGGTTCCATCCTACACATTGAGGGGTCCTAGGGTCCATCCTACACATTGAGGGGTCATCCTACGCATTGAAGGGTCATGGGGTTCATCCTACACATTGAGGGGTCATAGGGTTCATCCTACACATTGAGGGGTCATAGGGGTCATCCTACACATTGTGGGTCATAGGGCCCATCCAATGCATTGAGGGGGTCATGGGGTACATCCTACACATTGAGGGGTCATAGGGTTCATCCTATATATTAAATATATAGGGTTCATCGCAACTCCAAAAGCAATAACGGACAACTTTTCAAGCTAAACCCACCAATCACAAACAAGAAATGGGCCGCTATGTATATTTAAGTCGCCAAGATATAGAAGCGAGTTTCGATGTCATGGCTCCTTGCCACCTTCCTTCGATTCTTAGTGATGAACAATTTATGACGAAATAAATATATAATGATCGAGACCTATAACCATGTTGATGATATTTATTTATGACTTCCGTTGGCAGATACCCGAATAGATGAAGTGCTAGTAAACAATCTGGCGACTAAACTATCTAACTAGCTGTGGGTAACCGCTAACTAAATAGCTGGAATAACGGCTAACTAAATAGCGGGGGTAACGGGTAACTAGATAGCTGGGGCAAGGGGTAAGTAACTAACTAGCTGGGGTAACGGGTTACTGAATAGCTGGGGCAACGGGTAACTAACTAGCTGGGGTAACGGGTAACTAACTAGCTGGGGTAACGGGTTACTAAATAGCTGGAATAACGGCTAACTAAATAGCTGGAATAACGGCTAACTAGATAGCGGGGGTAACGGCTAACTAAATAGCTGGAATAACGGCTAACTAGATAGCGGGGGTAACGGCTAACTAAATAGCTGGAATAACGGCTAACTAGATAGCTGGAATAACGGCTAACTAAATAGCTGGAATAACGGCTAACTAGATAGCTGGAATAACGGCTAACTAAATAGCTGGGGTAACGGATGTGCAGATAACGATGTTGTTTTCGGCCAGCGAGCTCACGCTGTGGTTTGGAGTGTCGCTCCTAGAGGTGAGTCATGAATATTAGAAGTGAGTCATGAATATTAGAAGTTACTTTACTCTTTCCTTACTCTTTTATTTCGCCTCAAAACTGTTCAATCAGTTCTGCCCCACCCTGTATAAGCTAGCTAACACATTTAAATTGTATATTGTAATCAATATATAACAAATAGTCAAATAGTTAAAGACTACTTATAGCCTTATAAGAATTAGCTAAGCTGCTAGCTACGTACAATGTATTGCACACTTGTTGTCTCTGTACCAAAAACATTCAATTTATTGGAACCTAATACACACTAAAGGCAACAAGTTTATATACCAATTTGTCATTCATAGTACATTTATTCTAAACCATGAATAACAATACCTCAATATAAATTAAAGACTGCCACTCAATATATTTAAATCTATGAAAAAATAAAAAAAAAAATAAAAAATCAAAAAAATCGAAAAAATAAAAAAAAATCATGAATTTTTTATAAAAAATCAAGTGATTTAATCACTTGATTTAATCATTTTTATTTAATCATTGCCAACCCTGCTCCCCTCAGCTGCCAATATTCCTCCCCTCAGCTGCTGATATTCCTGACGTGCGGGACGGCGACGGCGGTGCTGGTGATGCTCCGCCTGACGGGGGCGCTGACGTCTTCGTGGCTCGTGCTGCTGGCGCCGCTCTTCGTCAGTGACGCACTTAATGCGTACTTCTGCGTCATCGTGCTCATACGCATGTACCTGTACTCCATGCTACGCCCCGGGGTACTGCGTACCATGTGGAGTACAGGCGTCATCGCCCTCAGTTTTGTGTTCAAGTTCCTCCTCTGCAGGAGGCTCGACGATCCCGGGGGTCTTGAGTTCTCGGCCGTCCTCGCTCCTATATTTATACTCCTGCAGATGTTGATGATAAGGGCGTGTCACTTCAAGACGGGCGCTGACCTGGCATGATGATAAGGGCGTGTCACTTCAAGACGGGCACTGACCTGGCATGATGATAAGGGCGTGTCACTTCAAGACGGGCGCTGAAGTGGCATGATGATAAGGACGTGTCACTTCAAGACGGGCGCTGACCTGGCATAATGATAAGGCGTGTCACTTCAAGACGGGCGCTGACCTGGCATGACGGGTTGAAGCCTGATGACCAGGGCGAAATATTCACGTGGATCAACTCACCCTTCCATATATTCACCTGCGACTCATCTATCTATACTTAATGAAAATGAAACGTTCTGTTCGTCGCATGTGAACAAATATTGCATGTATGTCATTATTCACCGAACATTTCTCGTTTACGACTGATGACAAAACTGTCGAGCTTAGAGGCCAGAATGTTAGGCTAGTTAGCCATTGTAACAAGGCGGGCCCTATCGTTATCCTGTCTTATCCTTCATCCTTCCTTAGCTCGTCTTATCCTTCATCGTATATCCCATGAGAAGGACTAGATAAGGATAAGCAGTGCAGCTTCAGTTGAGTTCTTAATTTTTTTTTTCACTGAAAAATTTGATTCCGTTACTTTAGAAGATGCACTTGTATATTCATCTGTGAATCTCATTAGGTCCCTTTGACTCTACTAATTAGATGTTAATTATTATTATGGATCTCATTCATTAGTATAAATCACTTAATTCTTAATATTTCTACCTTTGCTAAACTGGTTGAAAGGTAATAAAAAGTTTTTTAGTAATCTCAGTGTAATATAAAAAGTAATTATGACAATATTCACATATGTAGCCATGTTTGTACATATTCATTATACAAAAAAATGTTACATTTTCACGAGACTTTTCTTATCCAAAAAGGTTACCTATAATCGATAACAGTAGCTAATTCATGCGTACAAATGTAATACTTCCACCCTGGCTAGATCATGCCCATGACATGCCACCCTGGCTAGATAATGCCCACGACATGCCACCCTGGCTAGATCATGCCCACGACATGCCACTCTGGCTAGATCATGCCCACGTCATGCCACTCTGGCTAGATCATGCCCACGTCATGCCACCCTGGCTAGATCATGCCCACGACATGCCACCCTGGCTAGATCATGCCCACGACATGCCACCCTGGCTAGATCATGCCCACGATAGGCCAGCCTGGCTAAATCATGACCACGACATGCCACCCTGGCTAGATCATGCCCACGACATACCACCCTGGCTAGATCATGCCCACGACATGCCACCCTGGTTAGATCATGCCCATGGCGCCCTTATTCTTAGGTCTGTACTCGTCCCTCTGACGCCCCTGGTCGTCCCACTCGTCCTCATTAACATCGTAGTCCCTGACGAGGCGCTCGAGGAGCCAGAAGCGCCCCAGGGCGCCCACGTCGAGCAGGCGCTCGCTGAAGAAGGAATCCGAAAATTGTATCAAACAATTTTCTTATTTAGCTTCTAATTTTAATTATATGGATGTTGGTTTATAAAATAATGTGCTTGAATAGGAATCAACCATGTCAAAATTTTTATTCTAAATAATTAATGTGTACCTATATGTTGTTCAGATATAAATTAAATATAATTCTACCTGAAGAAGGTGGCGTAGCGCGGCTTGAGGTGCGGGGTGGTCGCTTTGTACAGCGCGCAGCCAGCGTTGTAGTTGTCCTCCCAGTACAGCGAGAACAACACCAAGTTCCAGCGCCTGCGTGTGGTTAATGGTGTATTATTTATTTTAGAATATGAAAAAGGGGGGATTAATAACGTATAATGAATTATTTATATTAAAATAATAATAATGGGGATTAATAATGTATAATGAAAGTAAATGATTCAATAGCGACGTTTGTCCTCCCAGTATAGCGAAAAAAGCACTAAGTTTCCCCGCCTGCGTGTGATTAATGATGTATTAATTATATTAAAATAATGCTAATAATGGGGATTCATAATTCAGAATGAGAGTAAATGATTCAACAGTGACGCTTGTCTATCTAGTATAGCGAGAAAAGCACCAAACTCCATCGCCTGCGTGTGGTTAATGATCTATTATTTATTTAAGAATATGAAAAAGGGGGAATTAATAATGCATAATGAGAGCAAATTATTCAACAGTGAAGCTTCTGCTCTCAGTAGAGCGAGAACAGACTAAATTTTTCCCGCCTGCGTGTGATTAAGGAGATATTTACACTGTAGTAAAATAATAAAATTAATAATAACGAAAATCAATAACATACAATAATAGTTAATTAATCAACAGCGCAATGTTCCATGCCTGTGTAAAAACATCGGATCTCAATATCAATTCCTACATGTTATGAATTAATACATAATACATTAATAATTGATATTAATAATTATAATTAATAATACATGAGATAAATAAAGGCGACGTCTGTATTACTAAATAAGGCTCCTGCATCAATACATGAGAGCAGTGCACCGCTCCAGGCGAAGTGAGGGCAACCGCGAGGGCAGAGAATATCAAGTGAGGGAACATCCATTTGCCCTCAACCCTACCCTCACCTGAGGGTGTGTCGCAGTGACCCACCTGAGGGTGTGTCGCAGTGACTCACCTGAGGGTGTGTCGCAGTGACCCACCTGAGGGTGTGTCGCAGTGACCCACCTGAGGGTGTGTCGCAGTGACCCACCTGAGGGTGTGTCAAGATGACCCACCTGAGGGTGTGTCGGGTGAAGCACTCGTCGAGGCGCCCCATGCGGGCGTCGACGCCCCTGCTCCTGATGGGGGCGCCCAGGAGGGCGGCGGCGTTGCGGTGCTCCACTACACGGCAGCGCAGGTCCTCCTCACTGGGGTTAGTTGGGGAGGGGGCACGTTAAATAGGGGAAAGTGTGCTGTCCGATAACCCCTGAACCCCTAAGGGGTTTATTACTTCATAAATTAAAGAAACAGAAGAGGGGTTAATTACCAGAACATAGTGATACCACTTCAACCCATATGGATGTTCAACCCCGAGTAAAACCTCAACCCCTGGAGGGTTAAACCCCGAAACGTGGACCCACGTGAGGACCACGCAGGCGGCCACGAAGGAGGCGTAGAGGGAGGCCTTAAGAGGCCGCTGCCTCGCGTCCTCAGCGATGGTCGTCAGGGCCTCCCTGTAGTCCCGGGCCATCTGCACCCAGTACTCGCCTGTAATTATTATTTATTAATTTTCATCGATATCAATTAATTAATGATAATTAGGAATATATATAAGCATGAGGTGTAATTGTTATTTATTAATATTCACCGATAATAATTAATTAATTAATGATACTTAGGAATATGTGAGTGGGACGATAAATAGTGAGTGAATGTAGGCAATAATAAGTAATAAATGAGCGTGCTGATTGAAAGTTCGTGGTCAGTAGATATTGAGAATAATTCATAAAAAATAAGACGGGTGATTCCGATTAATGAATATGTAAATATAGATTCAGTTAATAATAATAAATGGTAAATAGGACAAGTGGGTAAGATGACACACCTCCCACCATCCCCCCACTCACCCCACCGCTGCAGTCTTCCCCCCTTGAGCCTCGCAGGGATGCTCATGTTGGGGAGCAGCTTCCTCACACGCCCACCCAGGGATGTCATCCCTCCCCAACCCGGAGGGGATATTTTACTGGATACTTTATGGATATAGATACGATATATGGAAACTATATGGATACTGTATGGATATGGATATTATATGGAACCGGACACTACCTATATGGCTATGAACGCTATGTGGATATGGATACTATATGGATATAGAAACAAAACGGAAATTTCCTCCCACTACTACAATGTTTCAATTGGATTAGGCACGACTAACACTCCTGCAATGACAAGCATTTATCAGTCGTACAAAAATAACATTTTATCGCGAAAATGAGTGTCAAATTTATAAAAATTCCTCAGTCCTGAGGAACGGACGACCATCAACGTGTCCCTTAACATTTTGTTCGTAAATAAAATAAAAATGGTTATCTTTCGGAGAATTTTTGAAGCAATATTTCCGATATCTTTTGCCGCTAGAGATATGTAAATATTTTATTATACGGACACAAGATCAAGAAATTATGCACAGATTTTGAGAATGCAACGATAGAATAAAAAAATAAACATGTAAAAATGTTTATTGCTCACGAAATATTTTCTGTTTTAATTCAAGATCGACATGAATAAAATCTATTGCAATGGAATTTTGCTGAAGGAATTTCCATGGATGAGGAATAATGACCTAGAAGTAATTGAGGATTTGTCTTCATTTATAATTTATAACTATGTAAATTAAATGCAGAACCCTATTAAATAGAACCCCGTAGTTAGGTAACAATTAGTTCTATTGCGTAACTTTGTCCTTCTAATAATCTAATAAAATAAAATAAAATAAATTTATATATCATAAAAACTTTTATTTAATAAAAAAGTAAAAAAATTATTTCCCTTTATTTTCGATGGCTGCGAGACCAGGGGGCGCCGCTCCCCTTCTGCGTAGCTGCCAGCGTCCAGATTTAATTTTATTAAATTTAATTATATTATAAAAACTTTAATTAACCCAAGGATTATATAAATAGATTGTAATACATTACATTTAATTACAAGGTTGATTATGAGCAATATTTAGATCAAAATTGCAGAGATATTACAGCCGAGGTGGCTTTATAACTCAAAGAACTATTTATTAACTATTTATTATTATTATTTAATATATTATTATCTAATATTAGTTAATATAACTAGTTAGTCTCATATAAGGTCAACAAACAATGGCGTCCGTGACAACAATGAGAAACAAAAGCTATAAAAATAGCAATTACATTAGAACAACAAATATACGAATTAAACAAATATACGTTATTAAATGATAACTAAATGATAATTGTCTGGACGCTGGCAATGCAGCTCGTGGGGATTATTAAATGAATTATTAACTGGATAATTAAATGGACATTTGTGCGGTGGGGAGATTTTTAATGGAGATAATAATGGAAGCGACAGTTTCTTACAGTCATGAATGTTGTTGACATAGTGAGTAATGTGAGTAATAATGTCTTGACAGACAAAACATATGTCAACACTAATGGCAACACTCGTGGTAACACTTATCTCAACACTAATGTCAATAACACTCGTGTCAACAACACTAATGTCAACAACACTCATGTCAACACTCATATCAAGACTCAAGCGTTGACATCTTCGGGCCATAGGCCCTCCTCTATGGCCCGCTGCTGCTGCCGGGCCTTGGCCCGCTTGTACTCGATGGGGAGGTACATGACGGGGGGATGACTCATCCCCAGCGACTGGGCCACCTGCACACCAAAGCATACCATTAAAAAAACCCCGTGGGGGAGAAGCTTAAGAGCAACTGCAGCCCCAATAAAGCCCTCCGCAGGGAGATGGCCTCTCGTGTTGAGGCACCCGCCGTTAACAACGCTGTCCTCACAACCCCACCACCAGCGATTGCATCAGTGGAGGCCTCACAGGCTCGGCGCTATCCCAGCTCCGCTCGGGATACTGTAGTTCCCTGGCGTCCTACACCTTCAGGGTCGGACGCCGCCAACGTATGACACCTATCCCCTAGCACCGACTGCCCGGAGTGCGGGGAACATAAGCACCGACTGCCCGGAGTGCGGGGAACATAAGCACCGACTGCCCAGAGTGCGGGGAACATAAGCACCGACTGCCCGGAGTGCGGGGAACATAAGCACAAACTGCCAAGTGTGCGGGGAACAGTCCGTTCCGCATCTCTTTGCCTGCCCCTTCTTCCCCACGTCCCTCAGCGTCTCATTGTGGGACAGCCCCATGGAGGCGGCGGCTTTCCTGGCCACCCTCCCTGCCTTTGTCCATCTCCCCCCTCTTCCGGTACCTCCCCCCCGACAACCACCGGAGCCTTCCCCCCTGCGCGCGTGACTTTGGTGCAAGAAACAACAACAACAACAACGTTGCAACAACAACACAGCAACAACGTTGCAGTCCCAGGCCACGCTGGGGCGCCGCCTTCAGCCCAACAGGGCATTAGTGAATCACTTGGCAGTGACTCACTTCTCGCACTTGGCAGTGACTCACTTTTCTCACGTCGAGCTCGTAGATGTTGTACACGTCCTTCCTCTTCAGCTTGGAGTAGGCGACCACGCAGCCTCTGAACGCCTTCCTTGCCAGCACCTTCAGGTACTCCACGCCCTCCACCACCTCCTCCAGCTGCAGAATAACCTTCGTTAATGCTGTAATAACCTTAACCTTATAATAACCTTAACCTTATAATAAAGTTCATTAACGTTATAATAACGTTCATTACCGTTATAATAACGTTCATTAACGTTATAATAACCTTAACGCTATAGTAACATTCATTAACGTTATAATAACCTTAACTTTTTAATAACGTCCATTAACGTTATAATAACCTTTACTTAACGAGAAAATTAGGATAATTTAACGATAAATTACTGATTATTTAGAGATATAATAAAAATTGTTTACCGATACAATTGCGGTAATAGTGAGGTATTAGCGTGCCACCGGACGCCGGCCGCAACTATTAAATCATTATTATTCTATTACATAACTATTATTATATCATTATTATCAAACTTCAGTTACACGAATAAAACTTGCCTTTTATTTCAGTGAAGAAAACTTAAAAGCAACACGTTAAATAAAAATAGTACAGCAAGCACGAGAGACATATCTCTGCTCGACGAAACACTTATAGCACAGCCACAGTAACTAGCGCTAGGGCACAAGATCTCTAGTGGAGCAACGGATCGAGGTGAGTTAAGGCTAGAACCTCACTGTAGGGCTGGCGGGACACGACTGACTACCTGACTCACAGCCGCTCAGACCTAACTACCTGACTCACAGCCGCTGAGATCTAACTACCTGACTCACAGCCGCTCAGACCTAACTACCTGACTCACAGCCGCTCAGACCTAACTACCTGACTCACAGCCGCTCAGACCTAACTACCTGACGCACAGCCGCTCAGGCCTGACCTTGCACTACGTTGCTACCACCCAAGTAAGGACTAGATAAGGCCTTACTAGGACTTAAGACCTTACTAGGACTAGATAAGACCTTGCTAGGACTTAAGACCTCTTTGTAAGGACTAGATAAGACCTAACTAGGACTTAAGACCTTACTAGGACTAGATAAGACCTGACTAGGACTAGATAAGACCTTGCTAGGACTTAAGACCTTACTAGGACTAGATAAGACCTTACTAGGACTTAAGACCTTACTAGGACTAGATAACACCTTACTAGGACTTAAGACCTTACTAGGACTAGATAAGACCTTGCTAGGACTTAAGACCTTACTAGGACTAGATAAGACCTTGCTAGGACTTAAGACCTTACTAGGACTAGATAAGACCTTACTAGGACTTAAGACCTCTTTGTAAGGACTAGATAAGACCTTATAACGACTGTAAGGTCCGACATAAATGTTACTAAGGTGGCTACGCTAGATGTGGCTTTCGGTATGCCCACGAGATAAAATGAACACTGCTAATAGTGAACGAAGTTCATCGTTCACAAGAGTAATGCATATTCGTAATAATTCTCAAAAGTTACATGTTCATCATAAATAACGACGACCCAGAGACCTTATGCTGGAGCTGCATGGCCTTCTTCATGTCCATCATGTTACCTTATGCTGGAGCTGCATGGCCTTCTTCATGTCCATCATGTTACCTTATGCTGGAGCTGTGCGGCCTTCTTCATGTCCATCATGACCATGCGCGTTATGTTGATACGTGTGTCCATGAGCAGCGGCACGAAGGCGAGCTCGTGCTCCCTGAGCAGCAGCAGCGCCGCCCCCTGCTGCGCCCCCCGCGCCGTGCGTCCCACGCGGTGCAGGTACTCTCTGTGTGGTATACAGAATATACAGGCTGTGTGTACATAGCGTCCCCCGCGTTACAGGTATTCAGTCTTTTCCTGTATAAACAATAAGGACCACAAGACCTCTATATATACACTGAGGTCACGCACAGACACTGAGTAGAAAGTACAACACAGAGTGATACTGACACAGTGGGAGACACGACAGCCTGCCCATTGCCAGACATTATAACAGGGCCATACTTTCAAAACTCGCTAAGTGAACGTAAGTACTTACGCTCTATTTTCTTGTCTATGATTGGTGGATTTTGCTTGAAAGGCCGTCAATGATTGGCTGACGAACTTACGATCTCTTAACTTTTTTTTGAAAGTATAGGCCCATGAATTCAGTGTCTAGACCAGGGTTGGCGATTTTTTTGATTTTTTTAAAAAAATCAAAAAAATCAAAAATCAATGATTTTTTTTTTATTTTTTCATGATTTTTTTGATTTATTTGATTTTTTTTTATTTTTTCAACTTTTTTGTCTTTTTGAAGTGTTATTTTTTATGTTGCAATTAGCCTATTGACAATAACAGTATATGGA